AGTTTCGTCCTCCACGAACGTGAGCATTGATTTTAAAAAAAGTGATTCAGCATAACAGAGTTCTGCATGCACTTCATCTGAAACAATAATTCTATATCATTTTTGTTTCATGTTTAATAATATCTAAAAATCAAGTATGTCATATCATATTATACATAGATAATTTATAAAAAAATATGAAAATTGTTTTTTAATGAATAAATTCATATAATAGAATAAGTTTTTGTAATTAATATAATATAGTATTGAATTATTTAGATTGGTATACAGAAAATTATATATGTTTATGTAACAAATAACTCTGATTATACTCTCTAATTTGTGCATAAAGTTAAAATAAAATACAGAATTTTTTTTTTAATGCAGAATTAAAATATAGGAATTAGATTGATGGAAATAAAAAGTTATTTGTTAATTAAAAAAGCTCTTTTTTCTGAGAAATAATAAATGTGATTTTTGAGGAATTTTATTTTTATAATGCAATATATATCAAAATAATAAATTGTATATACATTACCAATTGTATAAGCATCATAATTAGTCTTCTTCACCATTTTGCCAATATTTTGCGTTAATGTTACATGTTTACGTTGCTTCAAGCACACAGTCATGCATTGTTTTACAGCTCCAGCTGCCTTTTCAATGTATTTCTAAGCAACACATATTACAATATATTATTGAAAAAACATATATTTTCCAAATATCACAATTTATTGCGATTTAATACTTGTTCGAATGTAAGAATAGCCTCGAGGAATGCAAATATACTTGTTCCTAAAGAATGATACATGCTACTGCTTGCCCATGGTTCCATAATTTTTCTTGCTTCTTCAAAATCGTTATTAAAAAAATAATGTATCGCTTTTTTTGCTTCCATTATTGCTGTATCTAAATCCATAGAAGTAGGCCTTAAAAAAACAACCATAATTAATATAAAATATATAATATGTTAAATTTATGTATGTACAGTAATATATATAAAATATACTTACTGTGGTAAAGATTCCTGAGCATCTTGAAACTAAAATATTATAAAAATAAAGAATATTGTTAATTATCATATTAATTATTAAAAATAGAATAGTTTTATTTTTGACATTGAACTTGATTCATACCTCATCTTCTTCGATGTCCGACATTTTGAATTAATATTTGAAATATGCTTAAAAAAAATAATATTGAATGTTATTATTGAAATTATTTTCATTTAATTTATGTGTGAAATTTCTATTGTAATAAAAAAAATTCTCACATTCAATAAATATTTTGCATAGAGATTTTACAAGAATTATATTTTACAAGGATTCTTTTATGAACTAGATATGTTAATTACTAAATGTGAAAGTCATTCTTCAACACAGATTTCTCATGTGCTCCTTTTACAATTTTAAGCCAATAAATTCAATTATTTTACTAATATTGCAACAAAGACATATATTTCATAGACATATTAAAATTACGATTACAACAAATGAAAATAAAAGCAATTTTTTATTATAATATATATATATATATTATTCATTTTTAATATATTTTTATAAGATATGCTTTGCAATATAAAATTATTCTTAATAATCATTATCAACAAGTTCATAGATAAATATATAATAATAAAGAATGATAAGATAAAATTCTAATATCACAATAAAAATATTTCACAAACATATTAAAAAAAATTATATTTCACAGACATATTAAATTTTCAAGTTAATAATTAATCATATTTTCAAAAATAAACAAGACTGAATTTTTACCTCAAGTTATATAAGATATAAACATACTCTTGTTATAGAATTTTATATTTATTACATTTCTAGCTTTATGAATAATATCTTCTTTAAATATATCCAAAAAAAAGAAAATATAATATAATATGCTAAAAATGAAAAATACATATAATATAATATACAAAAATAAACATATACATATGATGTATAAACGAATTGTATATTAATTTTTCTTAAAATGTATTCAAGTTCAGTTTAAAATAGAATATTAGAAGAAAACATAATGGAGTTATATCGCGATAGACCTAAATTTCTCAAAAAATCAATTTCGATAAAAATGTAATTAATAAAGTAAATAAACTATATGGTCAATATTTATAAATTAACAAAATAATAATCTTATTTCACATTCTATATCGTAATATTCTATAAATTATTTTGCACATAGATGATTCAAAGTAACTTACCATTAAACCATCAAATGTCAAAAGATAGAAGAATAAATTCACAAAAAAAGTAATGAAATTAATGTTTATTTAATAACATCTTTAAACTAACATGACCAGATTTTAGATACTTATAAATGTTATAACAAATTATAATTATTTTTACATTTTTATTCGAGATTTACAAGAATTCTTGAAACACGCCGCTACAAACATAACGGCATAAAATGTACGCAACCGACAGTATACTGATTATGACAGGTGAATCGAGTCGGATCAACATAAGTAAGTATATAGATATCTACTACTTACGATAAGGATACAACTGTACACGTGACATTATCTTCCATTACCACAGTGGTACTTAATATATATAATACTAAAAGTTTTATATAACATTGAAACAATGATTTGAAAAGAAACTAATCAGATTAAAGCCAGTCAAAATTAGTTCTCTCATTAACTCTCAGTTATATTTATAATATCAACATGATTCAATTGTTTTTAATATTTTTTATTCATAAAAAAAATAAGAATCATAAAAATTTAATCAAAGATTAAGAATCACTGATGATTATGTGTTATTTTTACAAATATTATCTCCAATCTAAAAAATATTAAAGTATATATAATTTGTATGATTAGATTGAAATTATATTATTCATATAAAATTTGAAAAAAAATTTCTGATTAAATTTGATATTCTATTTGATTTGTTATTTTAATTATATTTTAATTATATAATTAATATTTTTTACATTACTACATTATTTATTACATTTTTTGTTTGTATGAAATGACAAAATTTAAAATAATAATAAATTTTATATTTAAATGAAAATTTATAATTTTACGATTTTTCAAATTCAAAAATAATTTTTTATTTTAAAAATTATATACTTTTTATCTTTAAATTATAATGAAATAATATATATTAAACTTCTTAAATAATAAGTATAAGCTAATACATTATCTTGATAAAGATTGCATTATTTTCTCTATCGCGAAATATAGTTGAGAGATATACTTTTGCTATTATATTCGTATTTTTAAAAAATATTCTTTATTATACTTTATGTTTGCAATTAAATATAAATTTTTTTTATAAAATCTATATCTTTCGTGTGGTTTAATTTACCATTTATTTAATTTAATGTGTGTGTGTGTGTGGAAAGTATGTAGTATATATATATATATATATATATATAT